CTACACTTAGGTAACTAACTATTCTATACTTACCCGACCTAACGATTCTACACTTAGGTAACTACCTATTCTATACTTACCTGACCTAACGATTCTACACTTAGGTAACTAACTATTCTATACTTATCCAACCTAACGATTCTACACTTAGTTAACTAACTATTCTATACTTACTTGACCTAACGATTCTGCACTTAGGTAACTAACTATTCTATACTTACCCGACCTAACGATTCTACACTTAAGTAACTAACTATTCTATACTTACCCGACTTCACTATCCCACACTTACCCACCTTACCTTTTCTCTACCAACAACGTAATACCTATACGTTCCGAGAGTAATTATGTTATACCTACGTAACATATGGAGTCACGACTTACCTGAAATCGATCTGATCGTTAATGTTGAATGAAATGGAGACGCAATATACGTGGCACATTATTTGTGTGTCAAGCTTAATCAATATTGTTTGTGAACACACATCAGCCAACAAGTATAGTTGATATCAGTGTTGTACCAATGGTATCTAGCAACGGTCACCATGTTACCAGTAGACAATAATCCATAGCGACTGACTGCTGATACTTGTGCACTATGACAGTGCTGACACCCTTTTGTGTTAAGTGGTGTGGCGAATTGGTTAGTTGCACGTAAAACAGTCATGCCAAATTATTGATCTTGACCCGGTTGTATCAACGCGTAATTATGTAATTAATCATCAATTAAACACTAATCATTGATTAAATTCTAAATGTTTGATAAGTTAATTAAGTGTTTAGATACGGTTGTATAAACCCTTATTTAAACACCCATTAACTAAGTATGCCTCCAATAAAGGTCCCATTATTAACTTAGGGGAATCCCCTAATTATTATCCATGATGCATTGCAGGTAAACACTCATCTATCGTCTGCATTATGGCTGCCTTCAGAAATCGCAGCAAAAGCTTTGAAAGTTGTGAAATACAACTTTTAACAGACCTAGTAGAAGATCATATCTGTGTGTTTAATAGCAAACTGACTAACTCCATTACTAATGACAAAAAGAGTGAGTGAGTGAGTATGGTTTTACGCCGCTTTTTAGCAATATTCCAGCAATATTACGGCGAGGGACACCAGAAATGGGCTTCACACATTGTACCCATGTGGGGAATCGAGCCCGGATCTTCGGCGTGACGATCGAACGCTTTAACCACTAGGCTGCCCCAATGTAAATAAGAACCAGATATGGGACAAAATAACGGCCGAGATCAATAGCCTTAGGGTAAGCAATAGAACATCAAATGAAATCAAGACAAAATGGAACAATATGTTTCAGAATGCAAAAAATGAGTTTTCAGGTAGAAACAGGTGGCGGTCCATGTCCCAAGCCTGTTTCCTCTTCTGTCGGGAAAATCATGGATATTTATTCGGATTCCGCATGTTTCAACGTTGTGGCCGGAGTGGAATCTCCTGTTCCCTTACAAGGTAAATAGTTCTACAAATTGATTAATTTTTGAACTCATATGAAAGATCATATAGTATATAGTATAGTATAGATTATATATCTTCTTTGAGTGGCATTTTAGAAGTTGGGAAGTACAATATGGAACACACTTTATGGATAACAACTCCTTTTTATTCGTGAGTGCGACGTTTCGATACAGATTCTTGTACCGTTGTCACAACGGTACAAGAATCTGTATCGAAACCTCGCACTCAAAAGGAGTTGTTATCCATAAAGTGTGTTCTATATAGATTATATATGTCGATGCAAGTATTAAAACAAAATAGCAAGTAGACAAAGACATTCAACCAGGCTAGCTTTCGACTTCTAAACATTATGTCGAAATTGCGGACAGGTTTCATTTTAGATTCTTACCTTCTGTAGAACTTTCTTCAATCAAAGTTCAGCCGCCGTACATAACGTGCGTCCTGTTTTAACGAATATCCAAATCAATTTGAAGGCCGTTCACTCTTTTTTCACAAGAGTGAAGTCTCCCTGTTAATTTTTTGGTACATGGATCCCATCCCGTTACATTTTTCAGACGCTTCCTTCAGTATGAGGTCCTCCTGGAGCAGAAAAAGAAACTGATCGCTGAAACCACCTACTACAAGTTGATGAATAAGAAGTTGCGGAAGGAGTCAGGCGAATGTTAATGATTATGATGTGATTGTATTATTCCAACGTGATTATTACAAGTTCTAGCCTTCATGTCAATGCTACGTATTACTAGTATGTCTGACTGAACAATTAAGGCATAGTTATTCATAGTTTTTTGTCAACGCGCTGAAGAAGTTTCTTGTTATGTATTCTATTTCGTCCGTCTTCCCGGCGAGCATAGTCAGCGCCGAAGTCGCCTTCTTCCTCCTCCCCATCTTCCCTCTCGCACATGGGTTCCCAGAGATCGATGGCGATGTTGTGCAAAACAGCACAAGCGCCTGGACATGTGAAATTAGGAAAATGAGATTTAGGTTTGATATTCTATTGATACTATTAGTACACATATTTATTCTACACGAAGAAGGACAGATTTATACCTCGAACGCATACTAAGTTAGAAGCCAAACAACATTCAATGAAGGAAAATTGTTCAACATCCATTGTTAAGGGGTTAAACAGTCGATTTGGGAAATAAGGGTACTGGGAAATTCTCGAATTTTAATGATGACTTATGTTTTTAAAATATGATCACCTATGGTTGTACATGCTCTCAGCCGGATTTCACCATGTAGAACGTGGAACCTGCGTTTCCACCACCCAAATGCGCGCTCTATAGTGACCCTCGTCCTCTTGTGCGCTCTATAGTGACCCTCGTCCTCTTGTGCGCTCTTTTGTGACCCTCGTCCTCTTGTGCGCTCTATAGTGACCCTGGGGCGATGGGGTAGCCTAATGGTTAAAGCGTTGGCTCGTCACGCCGAAGACCCGGGTTCGAATCCCCACATGGGTACAATGTGTGAAGCCCATTTCTGATGTCCCCCTCTGGTGTTGCTGGAATATTGCTAAAAGCGGCGTAAAACTAAACTGTCAGTCAGTATAGTGACCCTCGTCCTCTTGTGCACGGAGTTGAAGTTCTCTTGGTCCTCAGAAGTAGTTCGCATGTACGGTGTCATAAGAAACTGACGAGAAGCATAGCCACTGTCCCCAAGAATAATTCCTGTTTGAAGAGTAGCTTTCTGATTTTTCAAGCTCTGGCCAAGTTGACACATTTTGAAAACGTGACTGTCATGAGTGCTGCCGGGCCATCGTGCCACTACATTTGTGAACTTTTTCCTGATAGAAAAGTAACAAATTATGTTTAAATACGTATCAATATATCATAATTACTCATTATATACTCTTCACACTGTAGAGAATATGAACAGGTGAAAATATATAATCTATTCATTCACACAATGAATACATTCCCTTGCAATTTTTACGTTATATTTCGCATCTGTTTATTTAGCTTAAACGTATTCGAGTCAAGAAAATAAATTAGGATTGGTGGACAAGACGTCGTGCTTATTACTAACATCACTACCATACAACCTAGGTCATTTAATATTTTATATATTCCATAGATGTACGTTTGAATTTCGTAAATGTGTATGTCACATTGTGTACCTTGATGATTGCAAGCAGCTTGAACGTTTATAGAATGAAATCCTTTTCTGTTTACATAAGCTGGTTCGTCTGTTGAGGGGCCCTGTATTCTTACGTGGGTTCAATCGGTGCAGCCTATCACACCAGGGAATTTAGCAAGACAATAGAACTCCTTTCTTATAATAATCTTTTCTTCCATGGTTGGCCATTTAACAAACTGTGGTAGAAGTCGTGCTAGCGCTACGCTATCTTTTCGTACAACCCTTAACACAGTTGATACCTCCACTCCAAACGTGTCGCCAATCACTTGAAAGAAGCTGCCAGTCGCATAGAGGCGTAGTGCTATTAGCACCTGGAATAAATCAAACGTTGTTGCCTTTATGCGTTTAATCTCTGCATGTAGGTTGAAGTTCAAAAATATTATTTTCAAGTCTTCAATATACAGAATTTTTTTTTCGCAGAATAGGTACTATTTATTTTACAGTCCTTAAAATAACTATTGATTTTTTGCGTTACTGAAAATCACATTTTAAGGTGAAAGAGTTGACAGTGAAATACATGTTTCTTTCCTATTTTTTAATAAAGACCAATTAATTTCTGGATGTATTAAGTATATGACAAAGGCAAAGTCGACTGTCAATTTATCTATGTACAAAACTCACTAAATAAAACTTGTTACTAACACATAAACTCGAACTTTCAATATTCTAAGTATTTCGTACGCTTTTAATTTTATCTTTATGACTTTTCACAAGAGTTCCTTCCCTTATCACAGTGGCCTTGACATTGTTGTTGGACAGCGACACGATGAATTAAGATCGAGTGGTGTTTGGGTATGTAATCATTAAAATAGACTGGGTAAGACATGACTATTGCTCTCCCCTAAAGAATATATGTTACGTGTAACAATTACCCATTTTTCACTAATGAGTGTAGATTTCGTTCGTCAATAAAGATTTTTTTTATCTTAGTTACTGTGTGTGTGTGACAGTGCGTATTTCGTGAGTATTGTCTATTTTAATAGACTAGTCATGGTTAGGCATACCTGTATTCCCACACTCAGTGCTCTAGATCTCACTGTCATAGGACGTAGACTGTCGCCAATCAACCCACAGATGTACTGTATCGCTTCAATACTGAAACGGTACCTCGCTCTGACTTCTTCGTTGCTCATATTTTCAACCTGATTAATCCGTTCGCGAAAATGTTTCTCTTTTCTCCGACTTCCAAGTTGATGCAACGTTATGTCGTCTGCCATGTTGATACAGCTAATGACGAGTTAATGATACCCCCAAACCTTCATTAGCTTAATGATGGATTAATGAAGGGATTCCTTTATTAAGGGTTTCATGCAACTGAAGATAACCAATGATTAACTAATCATAGTTTAATTAACGATTTAAGCTATATTAAAGTTTGATACAACCGGGTCCTGAAGCTCCACACCCAATGAAGTACAGGAGCACTGACACGAATGAATAGCTGTCGGTATGATGAAAGTAGTTTAGTTGGGTGCTAGTCTTTATCGTAACACGAATAGAGTTATTTTAATTATGAATACGTGCAATGTGTTGTTTTGGAATATCGCTATTGTTGTAAGAATACTGGCTTGTGTAACAATAGTGAGTGTGGAAGTTGGGCTGAACACTTTTTTGAGCAGTTCTTTATATGTTGTGGCTCGTCAGCTTGATGCAAGAAGAAGTGAGGACGGTCGAAGGTCTGATTAATATGATCCCGGCACATCCAAGGGACACAATTCTAGACAGTGAGTTTTGCAGCCTGAAACGACTGGCCCATCCGTACAGCCCCGTGTACATAGTGGTAGTGATAGAAAGTTACAAGCAAAGGACCCGTCCCAGTAGATATCACCCAGGTGCTAAGCAACATTACAGATCCTTCAATCTTCTGTGAAACTCTGTCATGAGATAACTCCATAAATTCAAAGTGTCATATTTTGGAGTTCGACAAGGATGCATCTTAAATCATCTACTTATTTTCAATAAATGAATCAGTTCCAGAAATATGTATATCTTGTAGCCTTTGCATTTTCATGTCACAAAGTATTAACGATTAGACTGTGAACAAGGCAATACTTTCAAATACTTTGACGGGCCTATGGTGATAATTTCATTGTGATACATTCCTCTGTTAGAAATCCAATGTAATTAAGGGTTTTCAGATTGGTGGTATTATCGATAGAAAAGAAAATGGACTTTCCTTGGTAAACCGATGAAAACTACCACATTCACCAAATATCTTAGAGATATATTTTCGTCGACATTGAGGCATAGGCTTGTTAAAATCATTACACTCAAGCTGGAAAGGTGATCATCCGAATATAAAATCTACAGATATGTATTTTTGTGCATGTGATATTTGTTAAATTTCACTAATCATGTTATGCATCTGAAATATTGGGAACGAAAGAAAACCTGCACAGCCTATTTCAAGCAATTTCTGGAGTTGGACCGTGTTCTGTTAAATTACGTACTCCTTGGTAATACAGTTCGTTATTGTCTGCATATGCCTACTCAGATGACAGTTGCTAAATGTAAGATCATTATGAATGAACTGATTCAGATATCCCCAGCATTGTTGTATCATGCAAACACAATTGTATGAAACTGAAAACATATTGGGCATCAAAGTGCAATATTTCTTATTGATTTCTCACATAAAAGTTGTCAAGTACTACCGACGTTTATATATGTATACTGCTCCTGTACTGTTACTGCTTTTTCTTGTGTCTTTATATGTTCAATCACATTAAACTGACACCCAGATAAAGTTGAAATACTGCTAAAACCCAATTTAATCGAATCTCGCTCGCCTTAAAAAGAAACCATTTTTGTTGAGAGACAACTTTATTGTCACGGATGCGACGTTTCGGTGTAGAGGCTAACAGCGTCATTAAGCAAGTGATCTATCCATAAACATGCCACTTGAAGAAGTTCCTTGAGGTTCATCGTTTTGTGCTTTTGATTTTGTCGGAAATATATAATCGATGACTGAAGGATTTTGCTTTACTCTGAGAACCATTATTAATATCCAGCAGGTTTTACTCCATCTCGAACGTCTACAAATTACCAGACAAGAAGTCCTGACTCTTCTCCTTATCACAGAGCCGGGGCGATACCTGGCAGTCATGGGGGATCTGCACCAAGACGCTGCCCAATATGCAGCTATGATTCCTCGTTATGCCTCGAGACATGATGTTAGTAATTTTGCATGGCACTCATTCTAAACGTAACATGCACTGTTATTGCCACGAACAGCTGAATTAAAAGTTTGTTTACTTCATAAATGTAAAGTCTTATTACTTTTACATCAAAGTACCACTTTCAATATAATTTCAGTGTCTGTTTGTAAATCCTATTCGTAAATTATGTATGCAAATGAGCTCAAGTTGTGTGTTCTCATCATTGTTGTGCGTTTAAACAACTTAGTGGCAGGCTGTTAGAAGAGTTATATTGTCATATTTTCGACCATGCCGAAATAGACCAATAACAGTGATTTAGATATCCAAACGGAAGGTTGAAATAAAATTCTGCGTTGAGACAAAGATAAACCATTTAAAGTCGTCATTTTTTAACTATTAAAACAAGAAACAACTGTTGTAGAGTGTGTAAAATGTAAAAGAATCATTCTTATGATTTCAGTCAATTTTTTTATAGGCAGCTGTAAATATTGCATTTCTAAAAGCGAATTCTCTATCATAGGTTAAATATGAAACCGATTGTTCGCAAGTAATGCGCTTCATCAGTGCAGAATATGAAGTGGAATTAACTTCTTGTATTCCAGGTTGGAGCTGCAGATGAGGAACATTATGTGTTCACAGTGTACATAGGCCACTGCTTGCTGGTTGGGATGACAACAGCGGACGTGCTCATGATGATAGAGGACAGAAGGAGAATGTTTCTGAATCTTCTATAATGGGATAAGACTGTGTTGGAGTCTATTGCAAAACCAATACATTTATATGGCCAATACTTGTACTGCCACTATTTGGTCTCTATTTTTAGAGATTTGTATTGATTTTTATATTGTATAATTTTGTATAATTGTACAATACAACCAGTCATTATGTCACCTTCCTTCTTGTTTGCTGGACTCACATCAAATTCCTTTACATGCAGATTTTTGGTTAACTTCAATAAGTCAAAGTAAGTGAGTGAGTTTGGTTTTACACCGCACTCAGCAATATTCCAGCTATATGGTCTGTAAATAATCTGGGTCTGGGTCTGGATCAGACTATCCAGTGATCAACAGCATGAGGATCGATCTACGCATTTGGGAAGATATGACATGTGTCAACCAAGTCAGCGAGCCTGACCACCAGATCCCGTTACCCCTAACGACAAGCATGGGTTACTGAAGATGAATGCTTACCCGGATCTTCACGGGTAAGAAGCAAAGCAGCCCAGTGAGACATCTGAACTGTTTAACAGTTGAGTTCTTTGGATGAAGATTGCAAAGTTAACAAGACATTGTATGGCATGTCGGACATTCAATCTCAAACGCAACCTTCTCGGACAATATTTCAGCAGCTGCACACTTTTGAAATAAAACCATGCATTCTCTGATTTCAAATGACGTTATAGAAAACTTGCACATGTTTTGTTTGATCAAGGTTACAACCTTGAAGGCCTCTGTAAAACTCTCAAAACGTTTAAATAGAGATATGTAAAGGACAGTTTCAAATCTGACACATCAGTGCAGAGTTCGAAATTACAGTCGGTCCTTAGCCCGAAGCCGACTGAAAACCACTCAGACCCACAGCTTTTGTTTTCTACAGGTCCTCCAGGGCCTTGTTTGCTGGGAATGACTTATATTGTAGCTAAAATGTAGGGCTTACACATTTAGATCAGGACACACAACCTTTTATGGTTCTGGGTCCTTAGTGCCTGCAGCTTTTCAGGGTTAAGGGCAAACACTGCATCAGTGAAAAATGTTATCCGGTGCAGTTACTTATTTTGACTTGCAGCATTTTGTTCCCGTGTGTTTTTCGGGTATACAATGAGCTAGTCTTTGTATGTGTTAAAGGCGCTGCTGCTGCTATGGTTGGTCCCCTGTCCGCGATCTTCGCTATTTGATAGTGATTCGTTGACACGTGTTCATGAGATTTCTGGTCTGGGTTCGGTTGTTCAAAACTTGGTTATCTTTTAACCACTGGTTAAATATTCTTAACCGACCGTTAAAGTTAACCAAGTGGTTAAAGCGTTTCACAAAACCCGGTTATCTTTAACCCGTCGTTATCTTGGCGTTAAAGTTAACACACCTACGGACCGCCGCTAAATATTTAACCGGGTTGTTTAACATCGGCAAGATGGCGTTGATCATGCAACCGCACGTTAAAGAACCAAGGACAAGAGAACGCTTATAGAGCTTACGATTTAAACATTCTAGGCCTTTCGGACGGTGAACTGCGTCTGCGTTACAGGTTTGGAAGGAGGTCTATCGAGTATTTGGTGGACACTTTAAGAGACGATCTTAAAAGACCCACAAATCGCGGACACGCACTTACAGTTGAGCAACAATTGCCTTGCGATTTTATGCGAGTGGGAGTTTTCTCCAAGTGGTTGGGGATACATTGGGTGTGGACAAGAGTTGTGTTTCGCGAGTGGTTAGAGATGTCACTGATGCCCTCCTTGCACGCAAGGATGCTTACATTACTTGGCCAACCGACGCCGAGCACCTGCGTACCATTCAGAGTGGATTCTACCAACTCGGTGGGTTTCCTAACGTAATAGGCTGCATAGATGGTACACACGTAAGGATCCAAGCTCCAACAAGAGATGAACCACCTTATGTGAAGTATCAACGTTCCAGCTGTATGTGATCACGAAGGTAGAATAGATCTATATTATGGCGACATACCTGAGAGTGACTTCCTTTGGTTTATATAAAACCCATTTGTAAAATTAATACGCAATACGTGACCATTCAAGAATGTTTTCTGTCAGTTCATGTAAGTTTTGTTTAAAGTTCATTTCATATGAACATATATGAATCACAAATTGTGAGGAATAACTGTTATCAATTTAATGATCGTAAAGATTGACAAGTACACTTAATTTGATGTATTTTAGTGAAATGAAGCGCTCATAAAATGTGACTTTTGTATGCGTGTATTACAACTGCTTTGCAGGAAGGTTAACAACGTGTGTGCCAAGTGGCCAGGTGCCGCTCACGAAGCCACATATTCCGGACATCTGTACTCTGTCATCATCTTGCGACGAGTGTCACAACTGAGAGGACATTCGGCAGGTGGAAACAACGATTCCATGTCGTACACTCTGAGGTAATCTTGATACTGAGTAAAGATATTTTTCAATCCTCAGAATATACTCACACATGAAATTTCGAAGGAACATATTATTATCACATAATAATATTATATAGATATATATATATATATGTATACATACACACACAAAAAACCACATACATACATACATACATACATACATACATACATACATACATACATACATACATACATACATACATACATACATACATACATACATACATACATACACACATACATACATACACACATATATACATACATACATACATACATACATACATACATACATACATACATACATACATACATACATACATACATACATACATACATACATAGTACGTACGTACGTACGTATGTATGTATAAATTCCAACAATAAATACTTCAATGAAAACAAGTAATCACAGTCCGATAGTGAAAACATATTTTTATTATTTCATCAAAAAAATGTCACTCATATTAAATTCAACACATCTCCTTTCCATTGAACAGCAGAAAGGATTTGCAGTAAAACTTATGTGAACACCTCCTTCTAAATATATTAGCTTTAAGCCTCATATCACATATATAAAAATATACATATATAATACATATATATTGCAATATAAGGCATCATACTAATTTATTGAAACATTTTGTTCAACAACCCTGAAATATCCAATAAGAAAATAATATTGCCAATTAATTGCATGTACTGTATTTATGTATGTATCAAATCTCTCATAATTGAAATACATTATGAAATATGGCCAACGATATCATTTAATATTTCATTATGAAGCTCACATGTTTATTGTGATAATGAATTTAACCAAGTGTTACTGAAATATGACATACAAAAAGTAAATTATGTATTTATTGCTTCAAATTGGTGAGGATGGAACCAAGCCGAGTGTGTTGCATTGTTGTTGCTTGTGCTGTCCTGCACAACATTGCTATTGACATGTGTGAGCCAGATGATGACAGACCCAACATAGATGAGCAGCCACCACCTGAGGCATATGGAGGAAGACATGATGGCAAGGGGATCAGAAGTCATATTGCTAGGACATTTTTTTCACGATAAAGTGACTTAAACCTATTGACATTTCAAGTGTTGCTAACAAAAACTTTAAAAAGTAAAGTACTTAGTTGATAATGTCATATAATGTTCTGTTAACAGGCTAGTTTATTTTGATTTTGTAATTGTGATTAAAGTGAGAAGAAATGTTATGTGTTGTTTTTAATCATTTCCTATAAATTGACTAAAGTATTAAATACATTGAAAATTGTTTTGGTGGAAACTTCCAAACACAGAAGAAACAATGAAAATGGACAAGAATGTTTTAACGTAAATCAATATTTATTTAAATGATAGGTAGAATATAACTTTGTCCTTGAAAACTATCATCTTGTAAAATACAAAGGCGTGTCGTCAAAGCGCCACTGTGGAATTACTCACTTCAATACCAGGAAGAATTATATATATTCTTACCACAATGTAGCACAATAAAAAGAGTTGTGCAATTTCTTTCAGATCAAACCCCCAACAACTTTTTTGCTGTTTGTTTGATGTCAGATGTGTTAAAATTGAAATAAGCGCCCCCCACCAAATTGGAGTATCCAAATTATCATCCCCTTTCAGTTTTGTAAAGTTAAGCATCCGGGGCGCTAAATGCGTTGAATATGATGCTTTGATTACATTTGTATATACCATGGTATTTATCGAGGAAAGATAGCTATCATCTATGTGTTTTTACCTATTTTACTTCAGTATATAAAATAACTATGTCAACATGGACATCTTTGATGGGCTGTCCATAATATCACTAGTACTATCAAGACTTTTTTCCAAGAGTGTAATCTGCAATGCAAGTTTTCTTTTTTTCATCGCTTGAAGTTTAAGTTCCCCTGTGAGCACTTGTTGTTGGAGCTGGTATACTTTATCAATACCATTCTCTTTCTTACTGAACATTTTAGATCTAGATGCTTGATGGCATTTTAGAAGATGATATTTGATGAACATAGATATTTTTTCTGGGTTACATCTTCTTTTTATTCTCGAGTACAACGTTTCAGGGCTTGTTCTGGCCCAATCATCATGTAAAACTGAACAGTAACTGCTAACTCTGAACGTGACGTCACAATGCTTATGACGTCACAATGCTATGACGACGCAATACATGTGGTGGTCAATAGATACAGATGACATGGCTAATAGAATACATGTTATTATGAATATATAAGATGTCGTTTACTGCAAAATTAATGGATCAATTTAGAACTGTGCAGATACTTATACAAAATTGTTGATTGATTTAGAAATGTACAGAGACGTATTTATAAATGTATAGAATGTAAAGTAATAGCAGTGTTTACATAGAAATTATGCTTTACACATTGGAACAGTGACGAGGGTAGGGTATTGTCTTATTGTTTTATGTACCATGCATTTGGGAGGTAGACACCCTGATCCCTGTTTATTGCTGGTTTTGTGCGTTTGATGAAGATAGCTTCAATCAACTTGCGTTTCCGCCAGTCACTGATGTTTTTTGCGAGGACTTCATAGCATTGTGACGTCAGAAGCATTATGACGTCACGGCCAGAGTTAACAGTTACTGTTCAGTTTTACCTGATGATGGGGCAAGAACAAGCCCTGAAACGTTGTACTCAAGAATAAAAAGAAGATGTAACCCAGAAAAAATCTCTGTGTTCATTTTAGATCTAGATATTGAGGGTTTACCACATGTTCGAGGGCTTGATGTTGATGTCGATGCTGATGTTTATGTTGATGTCGATGCTGAT